GATACATTTACGCGTTATCAATTATGCGTGTTCTGGAAGGAAGAAGAGAAATCTTTAGATCATATTCTATTTTCCTACAGTATTGCAAAAGTTATTTGGGGTTCGATCTCGAATTGGTTAGGCCTGGAGTTGAATAATGAGGTTACACTTTGGAGAATTTTCTTCAAGCTCTTACATGTTTTAAATCTTAAAAAGTGAAGAACGGACGTGAAAGTATAACAATTTATTGGAGTATTTGGTCTAAGAGGAGCGCAATTATTTTTAGAAACAACCGGTTAAATATTTTTTATCTGATTTAGAGCATTAAGGTTTTAATTTAAAAGTGATCTTTTATAACGAAATCGCTTATGCCAAATATAATTTTTATAAGTGTCGCAAAGATACTTAAGTTTGTAATTTTTCTTCCTACAAGTTTCGTTTCTTGGTTTTGTATTTCAGATTAAGTACTTCTAGTACTTGTTTTGTTAATCAAATCTTTACTTACCAAAAAAAAAAATTCCAAATTCAAAATGATATTGAAAATTTTCGTTTTTACAATTGATTTTTAGTCTAGAATATATTAATATTCAACTCATTTCTATTGAACATATTTAAACATAAATCATTTTAAATTTAATTTGATTTTCTTAAACAAAATTTATGAAACCAATTAAGTCGCATAAACAAAAACACACTAAACTGAAAATCAGTCTAACACCACTATAATTTTGATTGATCAGCCATAAAAGTCATAAGCTAATCGATGGTTACATTTTGAAATAAAAGTTAGCATTGACATTTTAAAATAAAAACTTTCAAAAAGGTATAATTACATATGAATTTTCTGCCTCAAGATATAATTACATATGAATTTTTCAATAAATATTTAATTTTTATCCATAGATAGTGACAAACTTTTCCTAAAACTTACCCACATCTAAGACTTCATATTGAAAATCGAATAAAAATATCTCTAAATCATTATTTTATTAAAGAAGCATTCATTAAACTTCTTCATCAAGACTTTATAAATATATGAAGACTTTTTCATAACTATAGAACCATAATAGTCCTAAAAAAACCATAATTATATTGACAAAGGAGAAGAAAAACATATCATCTTTGACAAAGGTTGTGACTTACAAGTGTATAAAAAATGTAAAAAAATATTATCTTTATTGAACTAAATGATGATGACAGAAAATTATCTTTTGCAATTTGGATGCATTTTAAAGATCATTTTCACTTGATACTAGAAAACAAAAACCAAACCTTTTTTGGTCAAATTATAGACCAAGTAAACATGGTGTTGGTTCATTTGGACAAACGTTATAAGGGTCTACGGTGTATATTTTTTCATTTGAAGAAAGTTCTACTGTATATTTAGAACCTTGAAAAATGATTATTAATTAGTTTAGACATGAAAAATGATTATTTAATTAACTCCTGGCTGCGGAAATTAAATTTTTAATTTGTGTTATGTGTCAAAAAAAAAAACATGAAAAAAACAATTCAGAACCAATTGTCTCTCCAACCCAAGTTTAATGGAAAAATTTAATTTAATAGAGACGGATGTGAGATAGAAAACTCTAATTTTTAATTAGAAAAGTGAAATATGTTAATATATGTCCCTCATTGGTTCTGTCATATTAAATTTAATTTATTATTGTTATTTTTAATAATTCTATTATTTATTTATTATTCTTAATTTTAATATATTAAATTTATTAGATTTTTTATAAATACATATCAAAATAAAAATGATAAAGTATTATGTTATTTTTAAAATAATCAAATATTTAGTTTCATTATTAAATTTTGTTGCTTCGAAAAAATATATATTTTCAAAAAAATTATGATTTATGTGGATAATGACAATGCGGGATGGAGAAATCCGTTTTCTGTTGGGGTCAGGTGGATGATCAATTGTTACTTCTGAGTGATTTTAAATGAGCAAGCGGAGATAATACAGAAAAGCAGGCACAAAGTTGATAATAGTTAAACCCATCTGCACCATGTTGTCAAGTCTAAATTAGTTATTCCACACAATAAATTATGAAATTTTATAAGTTCATGATATTAGAAGTGAAAAATGCAAAGAGAAATATATAGAAGTTTTGCATAACTGTTTGTGTTTTTGACATTATCAACTCAAGTCATAACATAGTACAATATATGTTACTTAAGTCTACAACACATACATCACATTTTGTTAGCTAACTTCTAACCACCTGCTAACAAACTCTAACAAAAAAATAACAGTCATATACTCTATCTATATCCAATCTGCATTACACTCTTATTTCCACTATGTATACTAAGTATATCTCTAACACACCCCTCAAGGTCAAGGGGGTTGGCACGAAATCACCTTGAGCTTTCTCTTTAAGTCTTGAAAAGCTGCAGTACTAAGTGGCTTTGTAAATGTGTCAGCTAGTTGGGAAAATGTGGGAACATGTTGAATCACAAGTTTCTTAGATGCCACACATTCTTTTACAAAGTGTATGTGTAGTTAAATATGCTTAGTGCATGCATAGAGAATCGAATTATGAGATAGCATGATGGCACTCAAGTTAGCACACAATAACGTAGGAGGATAAAAAAAGAAAATTCTTAGCTCAGTTAAAAGAGATTCTAACCATAATATTTCTGATGTAGTGTGAGTCAGGGTCATGTATTCAGCTTCAGTACTCGATCTAGCTACACGAGATTGTTTCTTGGTTCTCCATGCCACAATGTTAGGACTAAAAAATATACATGACTCTGGTGTAGACCTGCAATCATCCGGGTCACTCGCCAAATCTGAGTCACTATAATCTCTTAAGGAGAATTTCTTAGTTGAGATAGATGGAGAGAAAACCAGACCATGAGATATAGAACCATTGAGATATCTTAGATTTCTTCTGACAGCTGCTAAATGAGTATCAAGAGGAGCTGACATAAACTGGCAGGCCTAGTTAACACTATATGCAATATCAGGTCTGGTTAAAGTTACATATTAAAGGGAACCTACTATTGATTGTCGCGCCGCAAAAAAACACAGAGTCGCCACCGAACTCTATTTATCCTGAAGGAAGGAAAGATATTGAGAGAACCCCAAAAAAATAGATAAGATGGTCTTGCGACCAAGAGAAAGGGTACATAAGTCAGTTACGCAAGGGGAAGGTATTAACACCCCACGCGTCTGTGGTACTCCACAGGATCCACTTAAGTTTTCTCTAATCTAAGCGTGTGTAAAAATCTATGTCTAAAGTTTAATTCTATGAGGGAATGCATGTGAAAGAAAACACGGGGAAAAGAAGGAATATTTACAAATTTTTGCTCGCCTAGGCCCTGGGACCTAATGTCTACGTAACCCTTTTGAGGAATCAGAGCATCGTAGTTCGGCTCACATGTTTCGGTTTGTTGTATATTTTTTACCTTGAAAAAGGCTTTTAAAATAAAAGCCAAACAGAAAAATGAAGTTTGAATTGGTTGGTATTTTTTATCTTGAAAAGGGTTTTTGTAATATTAGAGTGTTTTATGAGTTTTTTTTATTAAAAAAAAAGGTTTTAGTTTTAATGCAAATGAAAAAGAGGAAAAAAATGCATAAGAGGAACTAGCAAAGTAAGCCTAGAGTTGTCATGCATGGTTTGCAATCTAAGGTCTATCTCAATTCGCTTCCTAAGATTGAATCGAGAAATCCTACGGGAGCATGTAAGCGTGTAATAAAAGTAAACACACAAAGCTTGAGGAGTATCCACTCACTCAAGTAGCACACGTCTAACCGAGATACCATGTTACCAAGGAAGTAAAGGGAAAGGGATCATGCCTAACCACAATATAGTGTCATCGAGATAGGACAAGGGAGAAGGGGCACCTAGCCATGATATCGAGCCATCAAGGTAGGATAAAGGAAGGCTTAACCACGATATCGAATTATTGAGGCAAGCGAAAATGGGGGAATAAGTGGTTCTTAACCATGATAGCACACCATCGTGGAAAGAAGAATAAAGGGGTGTCAACTCTTAACCAATATATCACGTTATCTAGGCAAGAGAAGAATGAGAGTGAATCGTCACAAGAAACTAACACCTAACCAAGATATTGCATCATCGAGGTAACAGATAGAAGGAAATAATGAGATCATATCATAGCGTCAACGTGCACGGAATGCGAGCTAATGACAAAGCGTGGGGGATTGGTTACATATCGCTGGATTCCACTTGACTGACTCGACAACAAGAATAGCATGGTTCGTATCATCAATGTACGACGCGAGCTACGAATGACCGGTGGACTAGAAATTGTGGGGGTCAATTACGGACCCTTTTCCACTTTCCTTCTTTGAGGACTTACCAGTGGGGAATGGGAATGGGGTGCCTTCATTGAGGTATTTGACACAAATGTAAACAATTTGAATTTCCTTCATCGAGGACTTTAAACAAGCAAGCACAAGTAGTAATTGCCTTCTAAAAGCCTTTTAAAACAGCATTGCCCACCTAAAGTAGGGACTCCTAGTCATGCATCTCTAGTCCAACTTCTCATGGAAAAGAAATCTAAAAGATAATGTGAAAATGAAGAATAAAATAAATTCATGATGATACCTAATGGAGAAGGTCCATTGCCCCTTCAAAATCACATAAGTGATAAGAAAACTCTACATAACCTCCTCAAACTTGATGCAGAGTAATTTTCTTTGAAATCCTCTTTAAACTCTTCAACCGAGCCTCTTTTTTATTTATAAGAATCAATCACAACAATTAATAAAAATGAAGGAAACCAAGAGGTGCAATCTGCAAACAGGATGCTATAAAGTGAATATGGGCGCTTGGGCCCATTACTTGAGTCTAGGAGAAGCCTTTTTTGTTGGTCCAAATATAAGGCTCCCAAAAATAGTGATACTGCGGGCTTAAGAGTAGTCTCGGCCCAACTACTCTACACTTCATCACCCTTTTTACTCACAACATTATTCAATTAGAAATTTTTTATCATCATAATAAAATTATGATCAATTAAAAATGAAACGATGGTAGAAAGGATTAGGGTTCACTTTTGAAAATGTTCGAAAATCTACACACGGTGAAATATAGAAAGACGGAACCTGTATTCGTGGTTTCGAAAGAAATAGCGAAAGACCAGAGGTGAGATAATATTATATATCCATTAATATTCAGTTTATTGGGATTTTTCGTTCCTTCCTCTCTGATTTTATTCTGTTTCGATGGCCGCTCGAATGAATTTTTTGTTGTTGTTTTTTTTTGGTCGATTTGCATTATGAACTCCGTAAAGCAAAATCGAAGATAATTATTATGTTAGTTGAGTAGGTTTTGACAGTCAGAAAGGTTAGAGTTTGTTATGAAAGTTTACAAGTTTGTTAGAAATTTGAGAGTTAGTTATTTGTTGTAACTGTTAATAGTTTAGAGATTTATTCTATTTTCTGTCAAGTTAATGTTAGGTTCAGTTAGATTTACAAATTAGTAATTCACGTTTAAAATGTATTTCTGATTTTCTTATCTCATGAATGTGGCACGGTTGTGATGAATGAGTTAGCTCTGAACTGGTTAACTTGGTTTAGTGTTAAACTATTTGTGAAATTGGCTTTCTGAACCAGTTTTGCTTCAAGATTTTGCAGGGGCTGTTTATGTAAATCGCAATAGGTAAAAAGTTTGTGTAAATCGCAACATCAATTTTCTTTTGTGTAACTGATTTTTGAATGACCTTTTTTGCATTGGTTTTCCTTGGACAGGTTTGGTTAAAGGTTGGAACAAGTATGGATTTTGTGTTGATTTTTGCAGGGTGGATTATTATGAAGGTATCTAAAACTTGTTTTGGATGTTGGTTAATTCAATCCGATGTTGAACTGGTTTTGCAAAATTAAGAGTTGTTGAATTAATCGCGAACTGTTTCTGTTTTAATTGATGCAGGACATGGTTGATTGCTAGCATGAATTGTTTGTATAATGGACTATTTTTTTTGTTAGGACATGGTGATGACATTGATTTTTATGGACTGGTTTTATGAATGGTGCAAGTTAAAGTATGCACTTTTAAAGACGATGTCGGCTTTTACACAAGCATGGTTAGCTATTGTTAATGATGAAGGTAATGAATGAAGGCGTGGCCAATGAAGCTCCGGTTGCAAATTTTGACAAAGGGTTGGAGCATGAAAGAATCATGGCATGAATATTGGACAAAGGTTAAAGAAAAGTTTCACTTATGGAAGCTTGGGCATGTATGAAGAATGCTTGAAGATTGATTAGGCTTAGGACCAAGTTTTGGTAGGTTTAGATTTTAGGACAAAATCCCATGTAATTTTTCCTTGGAAAATTTCTGTCTAACTTTTGGTATGATGGCAAAGGTGTAATAGTCTTGAATATGGCGACTTTTGATGTAATGAGAGACTTGAACTTTGTGATGGAAATATGGCCTTGTAAACTCTTGAGTTCAAGTGACAAACTTTAAATATAAACTCATCTTTCAAATTACCCTATGTATCTTTAAGCTCCTTTGATTTTTTGTTGCCTAAAATTCCACGGCTATGATATGAATTCAATGGGAGTATTGCAAAAATAATCAAAAAGGCTTTGAGATATTGAACTTTAAAGAACGAGACCCTCTTGATATTTGGAATTGAAGTTTCAAGCTCTTTTGATTAGCATTCATGACATTCCAAGTTTCCTTAATACTACACCTCTGAATAGACCTTACACCACCAATTTGAATGCATCACTATGCTTAAACCTAGTCCGAGCAAATCCTTAAGTTGAATGGACTCCATAGGAGAATGTAGCTTGCATCACAAGCAGAGTATTCAAATGAATTGTATTGCACCAAGTGTCCATAACCTTATCTTGTAAAGATAAATCTTGTGAACATTCTTGTATGAAAATTAAGGCCATAAGTCTTGAAATTTTAAACAACAATTGAATGTATAAGACACCCTTGAGTCTTTGAGAAAAACCTCATATGCTCATGACTTGAAAGGAAGCCTCTGATGAAAACCAACCTTGAAATGTTGAAGGAAAGATGCTCTAGATAGTCAGGAAACCAAAACCCTAATTCTTTGACCTTGATCACACTCTAAGTTATTGATTAATGGTGCATGACGTGTTAAATGACCTAATAGAAAGATATGTACATGAATACGAAGCCTAAGCCAGATAAAAGTAAAGGGTGGGACAAATTTGGGGTATGACAACTGTTCCTATTTAGTCGTCTTAAACCTGAAAGTGAGATTTGCGCTAGCCTTTCGAACATTCAAGGTAGAAGACGATTAAATACGAAGACTTGGAATTTGTCCTGAAAAGAAAGTGTGAGTGTGATATGGTGGCAGAACCGACTGTTTAATACTGGTTTGCGTTTTGCGTTTTTTGTTTGCAAAATGTCGCGGTAAGCAAGAGTCGCCACCGACTTTTATTTTATCCAACTGGAAAGGAAAAAAGCACAGAAAAATTCCTTTTTTTGAGATTTTGAGTACGGGGGGTAGATTATAGAAAGGGAAGGTATTAGCACCCTTTCTATCCGTAGTTTTCTAGGGGCTCTTAGGTACTTGCTCATCATTTTCAAAATTGCTTGTGTGTGTTTGATTTGAAAAAGTTTTTGTTTTACTTCGATTTAGCCCTTGCTTTTGTCTTCAAGAGTGTTACGAAGTTTGTTTTGAAAACTTTGTTTGAAAAGAGTGTAAGTGTGGAAAAAGTTTGTTTTGAGCAAGTACCTACTAGCATCTACCTACTCGAAAAAAGATTGTTTCTGTTCTTGTTACCTTTAGACAGTGTTGTCCCACTATTAGTGAGTAGGTAGCACCGTCGTTGGAGTTTTAAGGGTCAATTTGAAAGGGACGTACGATCACTAAAGCAATGTTAGGACGTCTTAGTAATAACCCTAATGTCTTAAGATCAATATTCGAGGCAACATATCCGAGGCAAACTTTCTGAGGCAAACTTTCTGAGGCAACTTTTCTGAACGGGACTTTGATCTTTTGTTTAGACAAGAGAGTGACCACTAAAGTATCTTATACTTAATGACCGTTTACCGAAGGCAACCGAAGTGAGAGTATACCCTAGGAGTGCACATGTACGAGTGATTCAATTTCAAGTTATTATCTTTGCACATTTAGGGCTTGCTAACCATTTTAAATTTAACATTCATTCTTGTCATGCAACCCTAATATCATACATCTAACAGTTTAATATTTTGCAAGAATTAAAGTGCGGAAAGTAAAGCTACGCTATTACAAGGCTCCGGGTATTAATTACATAGCCAAAAACAACCCGTAAAAGAAACGATAAATGAACGAAAAAAGTCCTAATTAATCTATTACATCCCATGAGCAATTACATCAATATGGTAAAAATAAATAAAGCGCGCGCGAATAGAGAACAAAAGGAAATTAGGGTTTTGACCCCGTCTAACCTAATTGAAAGAAAAATTATTTTTGATTGTTTTTGATTATTTTAATAAAATAAGGCTTTAAATTAAATATGAACCTAATTGCTAATTTAAATTAAATTAAGAAAAATATTGAATTTGACCTATTTTTTGTGTTTTTTGGTTATTTTTAAGAAAAAAGAAAATAGGAATTAAATTAAACTACAACCCTAATTTTCTAATTGTTTTTTAATTTATTTACAAAAGAAATTAAAGTTACCTAAAATTAAATAAACTAATTAAATTAATTTTTTTGATAAAAAATAACCTAAATCTAATTGGATGAAAAATTATTTTTATGATTTTTGATAAAAAAGAATTATTTTTGTGTGAGTAAAAAAAAATTAAATAAAAGAAAATATAAATGAAAAGGAAAAGAATATGGGCCTGTAATCAGCAAATTGGAGGTGTGCAAATTACAATTCTGGGCCCAAAAGAAAGTGATCCACGTTGACTCCCATGTTCCCATGTTGTGCGTTGACTAAGATGTATGATGGTCCTTCATATGATGACCTTTAGATCTGGCCATTTGGAGATCCAATGGTGGAGCCTTGAGGATGTATAGTGGACTTCATGATGCGCACATACCTGATTATGCAAATGAAAAGAACATGAAATATATGGGGGACCTGGGATTCGAACCCAGGTCCTATGGCCCTTTTCACCTGCATCAATGCCAGTTGAGCTACGCACGTTTGTTGTATGCAAAGGAACAAATAAATAATATATTAAAAAAAACAACTTTATTAAATTCCTGCGCACGAATTTTTAAATGGACTAATGGGAGCTTGCCACGCCATCGTCTCTTTCCTCCCTCCGTTGCTAAAAGGTTCAGTGACCTTTACCTACGGACGAATGTCTGTAGCTATAAGCCAACAATTTTCCAAAATCCTCCATATGCACGATAAATGGAATCTAAAGCCATGAATCAAACCGTCTTGGCCTGCTGAGCATTATGGTGCCCTTCTTGTGGACCAATTTTTCCTATGTAAGAAAAACCCAAAACACAACAAGGAACCCTAACAATGGTGGATTCCTATACAACTAACAATAATGCAATTAAATGGTACTATCAGCTTGCAAACATGATCAGGATTACAAATATGCTATTGAAACATGATAAGGATGCCAGAATTTGGATAATCGAATATGGAAAATATACCAAACCGTGATGACTATACGTCCCGTTTCTAGGCTTAGAAGGGTTGGCAAACGATTCAATCTGCTCCAGAGAAGGTCAAGGAGTGGATTAGCTGCTTCAAATTGCCTTGAATCTTCCTCTAACTAGTAATTCGAACCAACACTTTTGAGTGATTTTTTTGAATTCAGTTCTGACTTCTCACGCCTCTAAAACCTGTTGTTTCTGGCTGCAATTGTTCACTATATACCAAGGGATGAATTAGGTTTACAAATATGATCTCAATCTTTGCCAATTAAGATTTGTGATCTTGATTTGATTTCCATAAAATTCTTTCCAAAATAGGCCAAAATCAATCTTTTTGTGCCCACCTATGCCTTGCACGAATTGATTCCCTTGCTAGCTGTATATGGGACCTGAAATGTGCACAAGATCTTGAAGTTTGAATGATTTGGATTTTTTCATGATTTGTTTTGATTTAAATTGATTTAATTGCAAAAATAAATAGAAAAAATAAGATAAAGACAAATGGAGAGAGCTACGGCTCTTGGACCATGCTACCAACTCAGAACAAGTGCAAGAAATTAGGCCCATTTAGCAAAAATTGCAATTTGAGGCACTTTTGACTTTTGCCAATTTTACAAAAAAGCTCAACTTCACCAATGCATAACTTCCTCAATTTTGACTCTTTGAAGGTGTTCTTGGACTTTTTAGAAATCTCAAGATGTCCTCTAAGCAACCGTTTTGGTATCATCTCAATTGAGTCTTCCATGTTCATGTATGAAGCTTTGACAAAAAAAGGTGTTTTTGTTGACTGTCCAAAATGACCTATAATGTCCAAATTTATAACTTCTTGTGAGTGCATATTTTGAACTTGGGAGATGAAGATGAATTGTAGATAATTTCATCCTCTTAAAAATGAGCTTTGGTTGGGTCATTTCTCATAAAGTATGAGAAAGTTATGCTTGGTCAAAGTTGAGTTGACTTTTCCTACAAAACCCTAATTTAGCAACTTTTGGGTTTTGATGAATTGTGAGCAATCCTTGATGAATCATGATCAACCCTTGATCAAATGATGAATGATACTTCAAAAATAGGATGTTGACCAAAAATCTTGAAGTTTAACTGTATGGGGACCACAGTTGACTTTTGCCCTAGCACAGTCGATTTTCAGGTCTTTGAGCAATTGACTGAGCAAATTTCCTCTGCAAGGCTTGAAACTTGACATGGATGATATTGAGAACATATT